TGTTTTTGAATTTTTTTTGTCTAAAACTCCTTTCATCCTTAAAGTTCAAGGATACCTTTTAATAGACAAATGATGAGGATCAAGCAATGTTATATTATGACTCAAAAGATGTGTCTCATGATCTTTTGAAATCAAATCCTTAATATTTTAAGAATATTATCAATTGTCAAAACATCGATGCTACTAATTTTTTCATTTTCAAATTTCAAGGCATCAAGTTTTTCAAATAATCATCTTAAACCTCCAATTACCACATCATAATGTTTTTGAAATCAGGAAACTTTTTTTGAAAGCTTCAAAGAATGAATCATGACATTGCTAAACAACATCAATGAAGACTTTAGAGCATTATCAAATTGTTCATTCAAGATGCTTAAACTTTTTCCTTTTTAATATTTCTTGTCCACCAATTTAAAGTATAATGGTCAGGTAATTAGTAAATTTTTTAACCAAAACTATCAATTGATGCTTGCAAAAGATAATGAAGATCAAGGAATGTTAAATTATGACTTAAAATATATATCTTGTGATCTTTTGAAATAGTATCTTTAAGAATATATATTCTCATATGTCAAAACGTCAATGCTACTAGTTTTTCATCTTCAAATTTTAAGGCATCAAACTCTCCAAATAATCATTGGTAAACCTATCATAATGTTTTTGAGATCTTGAAACTTTTTTTGAAAACTCCAAAGAACGAATAATGACAATATTAAATAATATCATTGAAGACTTTGGAGCATTATCAAATTGTTAATCTAAGATGCTTTCAACCTCTCCCTTTTTAGCATTTCTTGTCAATTTATTTAAAATATAATAGTTAAGTAATGAATGCATATTTTTTTAATCAAAATTGTCAACTTATGTTTGTAAGGATATCTACAAATTCAAACATGTGACATTAACAAGTCGTAGTTGTTAATGAGCTAACAAATCTCATAATATATTTTGATTTCTCTTTGTTAAACTTGTGCACTTTTTAACTATATATTTGTTTATTTACAATGATTTTTTTATTTAACATACCATTAAGAATGAATCAACCTATCTTGAAATTTTTTAAACACCTTTCTTGTGTAAACATTTAATGCTTCTTTCTTCATTAGATAAAACGTCATCAAAATTAGCTTGGAATTCATTGTTTGAAATGATTCTCCCTTTTTTTTATAAATCTTACATTAAGGGTCTTTTCACACTAAATAACAACGTTACTAATTGATATCCACAAATTAATATAATCTTTGAAATACTTTTTCATACTCCACTTCTTTGACTATTAAACATTCCAACACAAAAGTTGCTTTGCACTAAGGATCAATTTATCTCAAATACAATACTATTTCTTCAACTAAATACTTTTTTGCAAACCATACTTCTAAATTATCTTATCTCATTCTAACTCAAGCTCATATGAAACTAATGTATAATGGATACACTTAAAAATTGATTATTGAAATCATTAAAGTGATGAAAAACCTGGCAAAGATTTTTTGAAAATTTTTTCAATGTATCTTGTGCAAAAATGATATACAGTATGTGGTGAAACCTTAGCAACTACATTAGTTATAATTGCTTCTTGATACATAATTATTGTTTTTAGATGATCCAAACATTATTTCCAACTAAATATTTAATAACCAAACAAATGTTTTCTCTATCTCATCTCACAACAAAGTACAACCAAATAAAATGGATTGATAATGGTGATTAACTCTAGTGAAAGGAATAAATTACTTTTTATACCTATTTGTTACATAGGTGCATCAAAAGTCACAGTATCACCAAAATACTTATTTGCTATTCTAAACCTAGAATCAACCTAAAAATAATTTGTTAGTTGACCTTTCGCACCTATTTGTATTATATAAAAAAATCCTAGATTCTTGGATTGGCATTCCTTAAAATAAGTAAGTATTAACTATGCATATCATTCTTCAAGTTGTTTCTACCTTCTATTACTCAAATAATTTTGACTATTATGCTCAATTAAATCAACCATAACAATGCCAGCCAATTCATTAGCTAAAACTGACATGATTTTATTAAGACGAATTCTTAATCATCAAGTAAATCAATTAAATTTCGTTGAACTCTTATCTTTTTTTTTTTTTTGTGAATATGTAAACATTGAGCACTTTTTGGAATAGTAAGCTCATGCATGTGGTCTCTTATAAATTTAAAAATTAATCATTTTTCATCAACTTTCTTTAACACGTATGGCTTTGCTTCCCACTCATGTCTCATCCAATGGTGCTTAAATAATATCTTCCCTTTCAAAAAAATTTTTGATACAATAACCTTTATTTGAATAAACAAATTCTCATCCAGTAATCACTTAATTTTTTTGAGATTTTGTTATCTTACTTTTACAAATTTTAAATCCTTGAAGTTTTGCATATTTAGTATAGTTCTTTAAAACCTCTCCTAATAATTAAAACTCCATTTCAATAAATAGTTTTAGACACTCATAATTCCTATCAGTCAACTATGTAATAATTTTGAATCATAACTTAAGCAAATTTATCAAAATTTAATCTTTTATCAAAAAAATGTTATCAATCATAAACTTATAAGAGAAATTGAATCATAAACTTATAAGAGAAATTGAACATCTTATCAATAAGTAAGATAAAAATTTGCATCACTTACTAATTCATTGTACTAGAAATAAAAATGTAGTGTAAATTTCATAGTTGTGAAGAAAAAGAAAAATCATATTTTTTATTAAAGATTACTGTAATGTTGCATAAAAGAACAAGGTGAAAAACACCATTGAAACCAAAATATTTAGCAAAGTTGTGAACATAATTGTTAATTTCGTTTTGGTACTGATCGTACCGACTGAAGCACTCCAATTATATCAAAATATGATACACCTAAAGATGATTTTTCATACCAAATTTGGTATCGAGTAATATTGGTTGTTTTCGTTAGTTTCGACCTATTTCGATGAATTTCAATGAAATAACATGTTTTGATTAGTACGTGAATGTGAAATATATTTTATAATTTTTAAATTATCTTTTATTCTTTAACTATTTTTAACCTAATAAAAAAAATTAATTGACAAAATAAGCCTTAAAAGTTGAGTTTATTTTTAATTTTTAATTTTTTTTATACTTTATTGTTTCAAACCAAAGTTTATAATTTTATATTTTATTTTTTCAAATCAAAGTTTATAAGTATTTCACTTTTTTTCAAGAAAACAATTATACTCTTTTAATTAAGTTTAACACTCATAAAACTTTGATTAATTTTTTTCATTTTTTTATCTTAATATTTATATGAAAAAAAATATTTATTTAAATATCATATGAACAGATTAAATGATTAAAAATATTATGAAAATTTTATGATATTATTTCTTATATTTTTTAACTTATTTCTTATATTTTAAAACTTATTTATTTAATTTAAATATATTACATATTTATTTGATGACTTATTAATAATAGTATAATATACAAGTTCATACATGTTTATAAATATATTTGTACTAAACCGAAAATTTTGAAATAGTAAATCAAAATAATTGGTATCAATATATTTCATTTTTTTAAAAAAAAAATTAAAACGTTATTCGATATATGATGTTAACAACTTTTGTTGCGAAGATTAAATTAAAAAGAATATATGTTTCATTAAAATACTTATATGGTCCTTACCATATACATATTTATAAATATATTTGTATTAAACCGAAAATTTTGAAATAGTAAATCAAAATAATTGGTACCAATATATTTCATTTTTTTTAAAAAAATTAAAACGTTATTCGGATGTTAACAACTTTTGTTGCGAAGATTAAATTAAAAAGAATATATGTTTCATTAAAATACCTACATGGTCCTTACCTTTGTAGTGAAAAAAATATGTTCTTTCCCCTTTGTGTTTTTATTTTATTTTATTTTATTTTCTATTATTTGTTTGTGGAAGGAAAAGTTGGGACTTTCTCCTTGGAGTACGCTATTAAGTACGCTATTAAGTTTCGCTACCAGCAAAGCTCAGCCACTTATTGCAAAGTTCTTTGATATTGAACCTAAAATTTGTGCCTTAAGAAGTGCTATTTTACTTCAAATAAAATCAGAAAATAAATTTTAAATTTTTATTTTAAGCTCAGTTTTCCTTGAATTTTACCAATCCAAGCTTTGACCATATAGTATGTAAATCAACTCAAAATCGAAAATAACCATGTTCTAAGGTTATCAAGCCAAGCTGTAATGAAAGTACTGCTCAAAACAATCCAATATTGTTTTAAGCTTACCAATCCAAGATTCAAGTATTGCACAGCGAATGTATAATGTGTATCAAGGTTAGTGAATCATTTTTAACTTAAACCATCTAACAAAACAGCCAACATATTTTTTGTCAGAATTGAAACATTGTAAAAATAGCATACTTATCATGCATTAAATATGCATTTACTTTTCATATTATAGGAAAAGTAATGATATACAGCAAATTAGACTGCAAATCTTCATTAAAATTTATACATACAGATAGATAGCAAAAAAAAAAAAAATGTCTCGAATGATCCTTGAATTATAATAAAATATTTAACATAATACTTAAACTTAAAAAATCTAGTATATAAATTCATTAACTAATAAATTCATTAACTAATACAATACACACCTCTAATATCGTTGACTCTAAATGATGACACATAATTAATAAATAATCTAAATATCACGTTAATTAATAATTTCATAACAAAATTACTAAGAATAGAGATTTTAAAATTTAAAATATCATATTATATATTTCATTATAATTTAAGACTCATTTGAGATATTAACCAATTACAAAATTACAACTGGTCCTTTTAGCTCGTCTCCGGCTATGGGTCATGACAGCAGACATAAGAGCATCCACATTCCTCAGACCTCAGACCATGCCATTCCTGCTGATTACTCCGACAGGAAATGTTTAAACAATATAGAAAAAGGCCAATACAGCCATTACTCAAGGATGAGCTTAGCTATAGACATCCAAACATAGAGAACCAAATAAATTCTAGCAATTTTATATACCATAAGGAAGGCTTAGCAGCCTTGACCATACATTTAACCCTAAATGGGTCACAAAATCCACAATTAATTTATCACAAAAATTGGTACTTTGCTAGGAATATTAGCACAAGGATAACACTCTGAGCATGTTTGGAATCAGTAACTCAGGAAACAAAGAAAGAACCTCAGGTTTTCATAAACATTTTTCTGAACTCGTCATTAGATTTTGGCTTGTCATCTCCCTCTTCCGTCGTTCTCGGTTTGTTAGTAGTCCATCCGAGTGGTCTAACATTTCTTGGCACTGCAAATGTGTTCTTCCCCTTGAGCTGGATGTTCTCAACACGCTTGTGAGCAGATCCCTTTGAGATTTCAACAGATTCTTTAGATTCAGAACTCTCATCAATTCCACTTCGATTGCTAGCATCTTCTGCAATTTCAGTTTCGAAACATAAGGAAGCTATAATATAACAGGGATAGAGCAAACCAGAGAAAAACAAATATAAAAATCAGGATAAGACGAGGATGGAACAAAAGCAAAGGGAGCCTATCAAATGTAAATGTGAACCAAAAATTGAAAATCACCTTGGTGAAAATGCAAAAACTATCTGCATAACATATACTCTACCAAGCAATATGGCTTGATACCACAGGTTAGTACAGAAAAGAGCCAATATATAAGAAAGCCTTAAAGCTTCTTGGATATCTATTTCCGAGAAGCTCAATTTCACCGTAAATCCTACAATAAACCCTAACCTATATTCACATGATTTCAACCACAATTCAACAAAAATCAATCGAAAACAAGATAGGAATCTTACCTTTAATCACTGGATTGAAGTTAATTTGATGGATTTAGGGTTTTTTTATTTTTTAATCGAAAAGTGAAGAGAGAAGAAGAGAGAAAGGTAGGAATGGAAAATAAAAAATGGGGAGTGATGGTGTATTTAGTAGAAATAGGAAATTGAGTTTTGAATTTAGGGTGTATTTAGAAGTGGGATGTATAGAGTAATAAATAGTGTAAATAGAATTCCCCTATATGAAAAGGTCAGACATTTTATCACACTAGTCTAATTAGAAGTACTGGTTTAAACACATATAACCTAAAATGTATCCAAGTCAATTGTGATGACTTGAATTAAGCTCCAATTTTATCAAATGATGGAAGAACTAGCCCTTACTGCACAAATTGAAGATCACTGCTAGCTACAATTTTTCCAAGTGTTATGGGTGCTTCATAAAACTCCATCCACCTAAATACTTGAGCAGCAAATGAGCCAAACATAACTTTAGTTTATCCAAGATTGAGTCACATCTGATATTGAGATTGAGCTCCAGCCAAATATGAAACAAACCTCGCTAAGAAAACTCTAAGTTGACTCAAGGAACATAAGTCAAGCTTGGCTTAGTAAGACTTATAAACTGGTGCAACACTTTTTATTATGAGGCTATGTTGAATCAAGTGTTTCAGGTTTTTTGAGCAGGGTTTCTTGTTTTGCCTGGAAAAACACTTGCTAAGTTCTCTCAAAGTTATAGGTCCCTCAAAGACCAATGGTGCTCTAATACTAGACCTGGCAATTTGATATACGACACGGTGTGACACGATACAAAAACGATACAAATAAAAAACACGGAGATAACATGACTTAAAATTTTCGAAAAACCATAAATAGTTTTAATAAAACTAAAAAATTGTATTTTATATTTTCATATAGATAAACTGTGATACACGATTTTCATTTAAAACACAACACGAATATAGTATTTTACATGACACGATGAGACGAATTGCCAGGTCTATCTGATACCAATTGTTGGATATGGTGATATGTAATCACCCTAAAATGAAAAGAAAGAAGAAAACGCAAAGAACCCAGCTTTTGTTGGGAAAGCACACTCACACACCATTTGGATATTCATTCGAAAAAATATAAAGGTAAAACAATAAAAGTTTCATAAGTCAATACCTTCTACTAGTTTACTTAACATAATGGACAACCTATTTGTGCACTCCAAGTCATTAAAATCTGCAACAAAATAAGAAAAAAAAATCAAAAAATAAACTTGGCAGAGGCTGTCAGCACCTCTGTATGTTTGCTTAACAGGCTCCCTACAGAGGCATTAAGAGGCAAAACTCCTTTTGAAGTATGGTTTGGAGTCAAGCTATCAGTGCTTCACTTGATGATACATTCCAGAGATTAAAAGACACAAACTTGACAAGATGGCTGAAGTTGGAATCCTTGTTGGCTATAGCAACAATACAATGGGGTAAAGAATTTTCAATCCTCTCACTGAAAAGATGGTTGTGAGCAGGAATGTAAAATTTGATGAAAATGCAGCTTGAAATTGGGAAAAATCACAAGTTGTATATGGGAAGCTCAGGTTAACTGAGTTGGGAGCATCGCAGGAGCAAAATGCAGACATAACAGATGATGAGTCTGATGAAGATTATCCTGTGAGAGGCACCAGATCACATGCTGAGACATATGACAGGTGCAACATTGAAGGGTTTGAGCTAGCTAACTTTAATGAAGCTGTTAAGTCAGATGGCTGGGAGGAGGCTATGCAGGAGGAGTTTAACATGATTCAAAAGAATAAGACTTGGGTGCTCGTTAACAGACCAAGTCATAAAAATGTGATCAAAAGAGGGTTTTCAGAACAAAACTTAATGTTGATGGCTCTGTTAACAGATCAAAAGCAAGACTAGTGGTGAAGGGTTATGGTCAGAAATTTGGAGTTGATTTCTCGTGGACCTTTGCACCAGTAGCGGGGTTGGATACTATTTGGCTTCTGTTAGCCTCGACAGCTCAAAAGGAATGGAGAACTCATCAGCTTGATGTTAAATCAGCTTTTTTGAATGGCCACTTGAAAGAAGAGGATCTATGTTGCGCTGCCTGAAGGCTTTGTTGCGAAAAGGAAAAGAAGATAAGGTCTACCAGCTCAAGAAGGCCTTGATTGGGTTAAAGCCGGCACCTGAAGCCTGGTATAACAGAATTGACAAGCATTTTGATACAGCTTGAATTCAACAAAAGTGTTAGTGAGCCAATTTTGTATGTGAAGAAATTTGAAAATGAAGATTTGTTGATTGTTTCTTTGTAAGTGGATGATTTGCTTGTGACTGCCAAATTTTGGTGCAGCAGTTCAAAGATTGGATGTAGAAAATTTTTGAGATGACAGATCTAGGTGAGATGACTTATTTCCTTGGGATGGAAATTCTTCAGTCTCAGTCTGGCATTTTCATTGGCCAGCAAAAGTACTCGCGGAAAATGCTAAAAAAATTTCATGTGGAGAGCTGTCAACCAATGAGCACACCTATAGCTCGGTGAAAAGTTCAGCAAAGATGGTTTCGAGAAATTTGATGGGAAGACTATAAAGGCCTGTTTGTTTGTTTGTTTGTTTGTTGTATTTGACAGAAACCAGCCATGACATTGTGTATGCAGTCAGTTTGCTCTCCAGATTTATCCACTATGCAAGTGTAGTGCACTTTAAGTCAGGTAAGAAAGTGCTGAGGTATGTCCAAGGCACAATTGATTTTGGCAAGTGGTTCAAGAAGTCAGCAAAACTGAATCTGGTTGGTACACCGACATTTATTGGGCTTGCTCTTATGATGACATGAAGAGCACTTCAGGATACTTGTTCACTCTTAGTTCCGGCGGATTTGCATGGACCTCAATGAAGCAGAACACGGTTGCTCAGTTGACCGCAAAAGCAAAATATATTGCAGCTGCTGCTGCCATCAACCAAGCAATTTGGTTGAGAAAATTGTTGTGTTCCATGGAAGAACACAGCACTTCTAAGATCAAGTTCCATTTGTAAAAATCTGATTCTCCTACATTAGTGCAGATCTTTTTCTTCTACATTAGTGCAGCTTGATTTCCTAATTTATTTTGGAAATATTTCTCATTTACTCTTCTGATTTAGTCAACTATTCTAATTGTCAAGTTTTTAGGGATTTGTTTCTATTTTAGAATAAAATAATTCTCCTTCCTTTTATTATTTTGTTTTCTGTTTCATGTAAGTTGTTTCCTAATAAGGAACTTCACTATTCCTATTTATTTAGTTGTACTCCTTCATTGTAGATAGAATTAAAAGAAATAAGGATAATTATTCTTTAAGTTTTCTACATGGTTTCAGAGCAAGTAGGCCTAAACCATTAGACCGGAGCCACACAAGTTTCCGTTATGGCTAGCAAGAGTGAGAGCTCTTCTTCTGCAAAGGTATGGCATGAGGAAAGTCACAAAGAGGTGATGCTCCAACAAACCCTTCAAAACAAGTCTGCAACCTTTGGAACTAGTTTACTAGCACAAAAAGGTAATTTCCTAAATGCCTTAAGTGTCCAGCGGGAAATACACAATCTTGGATTGTTGATTCAGGAGCATTAGATTACATGAGTGGAGATGCATCCTTATTCAACACATATAGACCTTGCTATGATAGTTCTGCTATAAAAATTGCTGATGGCTCTCTCTTAAAGGTGGCAAGAATAGGTTATATTGTAGTTTTGAAAGACATAACACTCAACTGTCCTCCATGTCCCTAATTTAAGTTGTAACCTACTTTCTATTAGTAAGCTTACGAAGAATAGATGTTGTGTCACTAAATTTTTTCCCAACTTATGTGAATTTTAGGAATTGGGCTCAAGGAGGATTATTGGCAGTGCTAGGATGGGTGCAAGGCTCTACCTTCTTCAAGATGATACACTTTAGAGACCACAAAACTCTTGTACAACCTTAGCCTCTAGTACTAGTAAGGATGACCTTATCATGTTATAGCATTATAGATTAGGACATCCAAATATTTCATACCTAAAAAGGCTATTTCCCTCATTATTCAATAATATCTCCAAAGATTTTCAATGTGAAACTTGCCAACTTTCCAAACACACTCGAAATACCCACCCTAGCCTTTCCAATAAATCATCTCAACATTTCTCAATAATTCACAGTGACATTTAGGGACCGTCAAGAGTTAACAATATCACAGGTTTTAGATGGTTTGTTACATTAATCGATGATCATACTCAACTCACTTGGGTAAAGAAAAATCCAAAGTTAGCCAAATCTTTCAAAACTTTAATAGCATGGTACAAACCCAATTCCAAGCCAAAATCCAAGTCCTTAAAATTGACAATGGGAGGGAATACTTCAACTCTATTCTCAGCCCTTACCTAACCAATCATGGCATTATCCATCAAAGCTCTTCCATTGACACTTAGGCATTTGATAGAAGTGACTAGATCCCTCTTGTTGACTTCCAATGTGCCTAAATATTTTTGGGGAGAAGTTGTCCTCACTACAATTGATTTGGTTAACCGAATGCCTTATCGAGTTCTTGGCTTTAAAAACACCATGTCAAACTCTCATTGCTTCCTACCTACAAACTTGGGTGATCTCTTCCATTCCCATCAAACTCTTTAGCTACATTGCCTTTGTTCATATTAGCCCACAAAACCGCAGCAAGCTTGATCCCAAAGCCTTAAAATGCATCTTCCTTGGTTATTCCCCAAACCAAAAGGGCTATAGGTGTTAGTCACCATCACAAAAAAAATCTATAACTCTATGGATGTCACCTTCTTTATGAATCTTCCATATTACAGCAAGAATGATATCCAGGGGGAGAATACTACTCAGGAATATCAATTCTTAGTTGTTGTCTTGCCAATTTCCCAACCCCTTCAAAACCAGATTCTCAACCTACCCAACCTATCAGCCATGCATATTCCAAAACACAACTTGTTTAGACAACTCTTGACTTTTCAAACCCTAAGGTTATGCAAGAAAAAACAAAAGAACTGATAGTCTACCCAAGGAAGCAAAAACCAAAAGAAGAAGTGGACAACTATACACAACCCAGCACTAAAAATCAACCTAATCCAAGTCTCCAAGAACCTAAACTTAACACAGGTAATGTCCCCATTGAATAAGAAAACCCTGATTTAGGACATTTATACTATGGAAACACCATTATGACCTTGCAGGACAAACCTTCATCTTCCTAGAACAAGGAACAAGACAAAATGGACTTCATATATTACAAATATTTTATTGAAAATTTCAAAATGAAGATGAATGTTACTGAAGACTCTAACTTGTGAGCTTGATAATGACCTTGACATTCCTATTGCATTAAGAAAAGGTGTGAGTTCATGCACCCAGTACCCTATCTACAAGTACATCTCATATGACAGGTTAAATCGAAACTTTCGAGCCTTTACTACATATCTTGACAATGTGCAAATTTCAAAAAATATTCAGGAAGCCCTTAATGAACCAAATTGGAAGGCAGCAGTTCTTGAAGAAATCAAGGCACTAGAGAAAAATGGGACATAGGAAATTTCAGATTTAACAAAAGGGAAAAACCCAATTGGATGTAAGTGGATCTTCACAATAAAGCACAATGTAGATGGAAGTATAAACAGGTTCAAAGCTAGACTTGTTGTAAAAGGGTTCACTCAATCCTATGGGATAGACTATGAGGAGACATTTGCTCCAGTAGCCAAACTCAATTCAATTAGAGTTCTATTGTCACTAGCAGCCAACTTGGATTGGCCTCTTCACCAACTTGACACCAAGAATGCATTCTTAAATGGTGACTTGGATAAGGATGTCTACATGAAAATTCCCCCTGGTTTCCAAAGGCAAGACAACATGGGCAAAGTTTGCAAACTCCAAAAATCTTTGTATCAACTTAAACAGTCTCCTCGAGCTTGGTTTGAATACTTGACCAAGGTAATGAAGAGGTAAGGATTCCTTCAATGTCAATTTAACCATACCATGTTAAGTTCACTAATGAAGGAAAAAGAGTTATTCTTATTGTTTATGTGCATGATATCATAATCACCGGAGACCACAAGGAAGGAATAGATGATTTGAAGAAACTCCTTACAAAGGAGTTTGAAATAAAGAACATGGGGTTCCTTAAATATTTCCTTAGGATGGAAGTGGCTCTATCTAGGAATGGAATATCAGTGTCTCAACGTAAGTACATACTTGATCTACTCAAAGAAACCAACATGATTGGATGCAAA